ATACAACCAGATGGTATTCTGTGGGAATTGGCTAATGGTTTCACATCAAATGCAGAACGTTGAAAAAGGTTTCCATGGTTCTCGGCTTTTATGATTAAACACTTTTTATATTTTGTGACATATGACATTCACAAAGTGCCATATTACTGTTTTCATAACATATTCCTTCAGTGAGAATATTTATAACTCAACAGGAATATTTAATTTCACATGTAAAGGAATCATGTGGAAAAAATACTCTTGTATAAAACAAACTTCATTTAAGTTATAAATCGATTCTTCTCGATTATATTCATTTAAGTCTTTTACATTGGAAGAATATTTAATTTAATTACAATCCTCCTACCAATTTTCTTAAGGATATCATGAACAAGTATTATTTCTAAACCGATAATCGATAACAATTATCGAATGCTAATTGAGGATAATTTGCTTTGCAAATGAGTCGAACCAGACACTTCACAAAGGGATTATTAGGAAACTCAAATATTATTTCAATTCTGTGCAGATAGGAATTGAATTTAAATTGTTGGGAATTAGGAGAAAAATTGTGGAGATGATTTTAAATTGTGTATTTAGGAATCTAATAGTAGGTACTTGAAATAAATTGCTGTTTCATTTGATTCGACAAATGCACTTCAAAACGTGAATGTGTTTTTTAATACCTTATATAATTATTTGAAACACGAACTGAATAAAATATGATATGAAGTGAATAAATAAATAATCAAATAAATAATTAGAAATAATAACTAGTGGTGTATGGCATCGTTCCTTATGGCAAATTGCTGGAACTTTTTTTTACCGTAACGAAATGTTCGAGGAATATTAAATGTTGTCTAATATTTATAAAAATTATATAAACTGAATTACAAAGTTAAAATTATTTATTTGAAGTATATAGGTGAGCTTTAGAACTTTAGCCAGAATTAAAATTAAAATCTGAATTATTTTCGATATATAAAAAGAAGAAATCCAAAAGCAATTGCTTTGTCAACACAAGGAGAAAGTTTTTTGAATCATTCAAACCGGGTGCCTAGTTCTCCCAAAAACTGCTATTTTTGTACATTTAGCTCTGTATCTTCGAAATGGCTAAATTTGCCTTTGCCAAAAACTAATCACCACTTCTCCCCATCATTACGAATTGAATGTTTTTTGAATCATGCAAATTGGATACTCCGTTCTTTCAAAAACTTGATTTCTAATTTCTGAACTCTTTGCTCCGTATCTCCGTAACGGCTGGGCCTGCCTTTGCCAAAAACTAATCAGCACATTTCCCTATCAATAGGAAAACGTGGACGAAAAAATTTGGACACACAAAACACACACACATCCATTTTTTCTGAGGTATGCCAAAATATTCAGAATCTTCTGAAACGTGAATATATGCAAAAAAATTATTTTCGATTTTCGGCCTATTACTATAATTTTTCTCAATTAACAAATTATATTGAATTTATATAGAATTTATATCAAACTATTATTTTCAGTCAAGCATATGTCTATAAAAAGTCATCATTGATGTTTGGTGCTAATTAATTACTTAAAATTGTTTTTTTTCTGAGCCATGTATTTACCATTTCCCCATTCAATATGAGCCCAATAAGGGTAATGAAGGTACAGTATTCAAATATTGCATCATGATTCAACTCCCAAATCGTGCGTTCAAATGCAATAACCCAATTCCCAATTATTTTTAGTAATTTTCCAAATAATCCTTTACAAATTGCACAAATGCATTTCGTTTCTTAATATCGTCTAAAGCTCAAAAAGCTTTAAAGAAGCACATTGAACTCATTTAAATGCACGATAACGAGCTTATTAGAAGAAATACAACGTGCAAACTTGTTCCTTCTATGCAGCTACAGTAAGCAATTTTGCGACGAGAAGGAATTCTTTTCAGCTTCCGAACGACGTGTCACAATTCACGGCAAATCTTTCCTAAGAATCTAGAGAAACAGACAATTTCTATATAAATAGCATCTTAGAAGAAGAAAACATATTAGACATATGTGCAGTGGGAAAATCTTCAATAAGTCGTGAGAGGGATAAAATGTTCCAAGAGTAATGGAACATTACACAACTTACAGGCAAAGAAATGTTTTTGTTTTGGTTGTATATTGAACCAAAAAGCTTTTCTTTTATTTGATTTTGTTTTAACATTAGTTTCTCGACCGTTTCACCAACACCCAGTTTATTCATTCAAAACCAGGCTGTGATTAATAATAATTATAAATGTTATTTGGGGCTTTTGTCAATCGCATTTAATTTGTGAACAATTTGAAGATCAAATGACATTCCAAAAATCCTTCAATTCATCAGCAACTGTATCCTTGTCAAGTAATTTACTTCTTATATCCCCTCAATTTCTTCCATTATTGTAATCTTTCATAAACTGTGTCCCTTCTGATCAAGTCTCATGCTCAAATAGACATGAATAAGATTCAATCACAGCATCTTCTTCGCCTTGGATGGCAAAGATACTTATTAAGGTATCCGATTCAGAGTTCCATACTTCATTACCAATGTCGGAAGCATCTAAGTTAATTAGTGTTTAGATGAAAATAGAATTAGCGACATTGTGCAAAAAGCAACTCTCAGACATCCTCCTTCATCCTATCATCACATTTGTATAAATCTATAAGTTGTATCCTTGTGAAAATTAAATTAACATAAAAAACTTCCTCATTGGAAGATCTGATATGAATACTTTGCATAAGGAATAAGGAAGTGCCTACCGAAAAACATAATGTATTCATGAAACGCGTGCGAAAAAGTTTTTAGATGATTTACTCGAACATTGTTCACGAATTGACGAAGTTTTTGATTCTGAAGGAATTATGAATTTTGTAATAAATTGTGTATTTTGTTTCAAAATATGGTCAAAGAATATTAAATAAATTAATGTTATGCCATAACACGTGGTATTCGAAAACGGTGAGACATTAAAAATATTTGAAAACACGGAATAATTTTTTTAAGTGTTCGTGAAATTAACACTATCACCGTTCGGGACACCAATTGCATGAATTAATGTTGTATGAGAAAAACAATTTTATTTGTTCGTATGTGCCAAAGTGACCTTTAACTCGACCCGCCCTAATATATATATATATATATATATATATATATATATATATATATATATATTTGAATAATCTTGAATTTGATGTTGATATATATGTTAAATTTGAGTTAAAAAGTCAGGCATTACATCAATAAAAATAGTATGAGATTTTTTTTTAATTTATTTATTTGAAATCCATACTTTTCGGCTAGCATCTTAGCCTTCATTCAGTGGTAACCAATTTAACTATAAAAATTGAAACTAAATAAATAATATGTAAGAAATTTCATAGAAAAACAACAACAATAATGATAATAATAGTAAAACACAATTTTGTGTCCTAATATAACATATGAAACCAATATTAATTCATGGTATGAGTATGTGCACATTGATAAAATATATATTTTTTAACATCACAGATGGTAAAATACACTAATAAACATGATAACTTAATAAGTTGTCGAAACTAAATATTTACTGTTCGGAGTTTGAGATAGAAATGTCACATTTTTTCTTAAAGCATTTTTGTCTTAAAGCATTTTTGTCTTAAAGCATGTTTTAGCATGTGTTCAAATTTTACGGGAAATTTAAAAAGCGATGGGATCTTGTTATTTTTTAAAAAGATTTGGCACGCTATTAAGGAACCACGTCTTAGTCTCGTTCAGGGCCGTATTGTCAAAACGTTTGTTTATGAATTTGTCGTTATGTAATTGTAAAAACAACCCCTCAGCATTAAAAGAAGATTCGTTTTAAATATATATATATATATATATATATATATATATTAAATTATATTAACATTAACTTAGTATCTTATTAGTAAATAAATCTTCTTAAACATGATATAAATCATAGTATTGCAATCTAAATCCCATCATTTTCTCTGAACACCCAGAAATGCAATAGTTACATAATCGAATTCATGAGTTTAACAAAATATCGGAAAAATTCAATTTATGTGCACATAAATCCTAGAATGCACGATATTGCATTCTATTTTATTGTTGGGGCTTAAGATTTATCGCTAAGTACTTGAATCCTGAGAAAAGTATAAAATAAATACTAATGGAAGAGATTTGTTAGAAATTATATAATAATGGGAATATATCGTTGAAAAAGTACAATGACATAAAATTTTATTATAATTCAAACTTTAGAATGAAATATATATATATTGAACCTTATAAAAAAAGAAATATTAATACTAGACAAAAAAATTTCCAGTGATAGTACTCGAGTATTTTATTCGGACACTTTTTTTTAATTGTGGTGTCAAACGATTTGGAATTGCCTTGAAAAATATAAACATATTATTTGGAGGTTGAAAATATGATACATTTATAATTAAATTACACGTGCAAATCATTTAATTTTCCCTGCTACACATACATCTTTCAAGAACCGCCTGCTCATTAAAATAAAACCTTTTCTACTGTATAATTTCATCAAATGATCTTTTTCGTGTGATTTATTTTCTTTCAAGTCATAATTGATAATCTTTAACAATGCGTCTAGACTTAATCATAAATTATTTTCATTTCTGAACCGAATAAATCTCAATCAAAATCGATCATAATTATTCAATTTTCTTAATTTAATGAATCTTTTCTTGTCTTAAAGACAGTTGATGAATCTTTTAATTAAAATACGTCCAGATATGGATTAAATTATACGTTTATTAACTATGAAACCACATCAAACAATTTTGGCTGCTTATTTGATGGGTTGTTGATCCTTTATTAAAGTCAAATGATCGCTGATGCGAAAAATGAACGTCGGGGATGTTCAATTCTATTCTTGGAAAGAACACTTAGGAATAGATTGAAAATTATTATTAGATAATTGATACATATCAATTAATTTGTCAACAACTTAAACTAAGTTTTGTATTAACTCTGTAGTTTTTACCAAATTTTTGTTTCTCTTTCAGGCTATGAACTTACTCCAGCTAATTCTGAATGGTCCATGCCTGAACAGTATGCACTCAAAATGAAGTTCAATGTTATGAATTAAAAAGTTTCTAAAATTTCTACACCATATCCTGAAAAGAATGTTATTAACATTTAGTGTTGACGCAAAAAGATGGCAAGGCTCTGAAAATACGAGTCAACATCTGTTCATAATGGATTTTTGTTAGATCAACCTCCAAGATCATACAAGACAACCATGGATTCCGAAGAACATGTGATCTTGGTATCCGACAGTGATCAACTATTCCCTCTATACCAATCCATAGAATTCCAAAATTTAACTTCGAATTTCTCCGAAGACCTGACTTTCTACAACACAAATGGGTCATTTAATTGCGACGAGAGTTTCCTACAACAACCACTATCATCTTCATATTTCAGAGCCTTGGTATATTTTCTATACTGCTCCATATTTTTCTTGGCAGTTGCTGGAAATGGTTTAGTGTGTTTCATAGTTCAGAGGTCGCCGAGGATGAGGACTGTCACGAATTTATTTATTGTGAATTTGGCAGTCGGAGATATATTGATGTCGGTGTTTTGCATTCCTTTTACTTTTGTGTCAATATTGATATTGCATCATTGGCCTTTCGGGATGATCATGTGCCATTTGGTGAATTTTTCGCAAGCTGTGAGTGTTCTGGTCAGCGCGTACACCTTGGTGGCCATCAGTGTGGACAGGTAATAAAATAAATAGATACAATATATGAATAGTATATAATAAGATCTTTTTCAAACTACATCTTTACTCGCGATTAGGAAATTTAGTCTCTTACTATAATCTAGAACTTCAAAATGCTTAATATTCCGTCCCGTTTCGCACTTTTCTAGGAGATTATTCAAATTTACATCAATTTTCTAGGGTAAATTGTAATTATTCGGCATCTGCATAATATACCTGAAAATAGTGTAATAGAATCCTTTAGAGTTGCAATTTACATGCAAATTGCAACTAACAAGTGGAAGTTTCAAATACTAACTGGTTGTTTCTAGTAGCCTGTGGATTATCTGCTCTATATATTTATAGATGTTATTATACGGAATTAATTATTCAAACTGAGTTGTTACTTTTATACTCTATAAAATTCATATAACTATTTTTTACTAACCTACATAATACAATATTTTCATTAAAATTTACTGAACTATAAGCGAGCTAGACCAAAAGAATTGAATTAGATAGATTTGATCCTTGTCGAATTGCAATTCTTGGTATCGCCTAAAAAATTACTTTGTCACCACTATCTGTTAATACAATTTTTTTATTGAACAAGAGTCAAAAAAGCGTATTGCATTTTTGGGTATCGCCTAAAAGATTACTTCGTCACCAATATCCCAAGAATGAAATCAAAGTATTTTTTTCATTTTACTAAAAGCAAGTATTAAGACAAACGAGAAGGCTTATCCAAGAATAGATATAAATATTTACTACATCTTTTTCTTTACCTAATTGGGTATAACAGCATCCTTTCTATTTCTACCCGCAATTTACTTCTAAATTGCCTGTAATTTGCAAATGGATGAGGGGTCAGTTGTAATTGAAAGTGTTCATTCCAGGTACATGGCCATAATGTGGCCCCTGAAACCGAGACTGACCAAGCGCAGCGCGAAGGCCATAATTGTGCTCGTGTGGGCGATCGCGTTCCTCACGGCGCTGCCAATTCCAGCCGTTTCGAAGCTCAGCCAGCCGGCGAGCTGGCATCAGGAGTGCAACAAGTTAGTAATTTAGTAATAATTCGAAATATATATATATATATATATATATATATATATATATATAATACACATGTCATGGTAGTTTTTATACTCTTCCAAAACGGTTTGACCAATTTTTAATTACAATTTGTAGGGCTGAAAATTAGGTGACATCCATTTTTCATACCCAGAAGAAGTAAGGGTGACTATAATTTTGGATTTATTGCCTTTGATGCATATTTCATCTATTATTCTCGGAACGTGAAAAATCGACTATATGAGAATAACCATGAATATTCGTTTTGAATGTTCTGTACGTGTATCGTATGGGGTTTTGTGATTGTTACTATAACAACTTCTAATTAATATAACTGAGTTCTTACAAAATTTACATCAGCTTCTTTGCAAAGTCTCTGAAGCTCCAAAGCTGGAAGCCCTAAAGATTTTTCTTTTATTGTAACACATTTAGCCCTAAATTTTCACACACCTACGAGAAATCTCTATTTCGTAATAGCTATTTTATAATTTTTATACTCTTCCGAAACGTCTTGATCGATTTTTAATTACTTTTAGCAAAACTGAGAATTGGGTAACATCTATTTTTCTTACCCAGAAGAAATTAGGGCTGATCCTTACACTCCTAACATTTATTTGTCTTTTATTGTAATGCGCAATTGAAACTCTTACCACAAACCCCAATTTCATAATAGTCATTTTATATTTTCTACACTTTTCCGAAACGGTTGGACAAATTTTTAATTACAATCAGTAGAACTGAGATGTAAGTGTGGGCCCCTTACATCCCTAAAAAAATTTTTCTTGTTCAATGCACAATTAAAACACATTCAGGCTTAAATTTTTACCTTTCTACCAAAACCTCTATTATGTAATAGTCATTTTATAGATTTTATTCTCTTTCGAAAAAACTTTACCGATCTTTAATTACAATTTGTAGGACTAAAAAATGGATAACATTTATTTTTTATACCCAGAAGAAGTAAGGGTTATCCCTTACACCCCTAAGATTTTTTTGCGCAATTAATACACTTTAAAGCCTAAATTTTCAGACTGTTACCACTAACCCCTATTACATAATAATCGATTTTAGTAATGGAATAGTTTATCTCCCTTGATGTCGCTGAAAGTTTTTAATAGATTTTTAAAATTATTCTAATTTTTTTGTTTTCATTTGCAAATTTAATCGGAAATTTAATTAGCAATCGGAATCTAAGTACATTATATGGAACTCAAAAACGTAAAAATGTGGCTCGTTTAGGAAACTCTCCAGTGAGAGCCCTGATTACTTATAGTGAATCAATGGGTTGTTTTTTCTATAATCTATTCTTCATATTCACTGAATTTTAATAAAGATTTTGTTGATCTTAAAAAAAATCTTAAATTTTTACCATACTCTATTTCTATTATTTGTTGTCTATCTCTAATTTGTAGCTTAAGTTATTATTGCTCAATAACAGATTTTTTTTTTTATAAATGGTACAGTATTATATAAACACGATATCAAAACATATTAGTACTGATAATTACATTTCAAGTGAAATAAATAATTAACAGCGTTCATCAGTAGATCAATTTACACTGTAATTAAAATGTGAATACTGAATTTATTGATGTAAATTGATTCGTGAAAATGTGAAATGCATACATAAAACGAAACACTAAATGGTGGTATATAAATTAATGTTGATCATTAATAGGTAGTGCTTGATATATTTAATTGGGTTTATATATTATATATTGAAATATATAGTTACATATTATAGAAGGAATAAATTGTTTTAATGAGTGCAACAAAGTGCAAAGTGTTACAATTTGAAAAGAATTCTTTTAATTTGGTATACATGTCAACTTGGATATTTTTCCAAAGGAGAAAAGAAATACTATATTTTTAATATATTTTCCATTGCCCTGATAAAACATTGTTTTTTAAGTTTTTTTCTTGCAATTATCTTATACATTATAAAATAAATTGCATGCAGTTTCCGCAACAGAAAGTTAAATTTCTTGCACGATGCCGCATTGAATCTAAATTAGCTTTTTATAGAACTTTAATGTGAAAATGTCTCTTGAATTAATTAATTGAGTTGAAAATGGTTTAAATAAGGAGAAAAGTTCTAATGAGTAAAATAGATGTTATTCAGTCTTTAATGAGTAGTTGCAAGTGATACGGTAATTTCTACCAGATGATAAATTAGAAAGATGTCGTTTGTTAAAATTGGATTCAACAATCTATTTTTTATATAAATAGGTAAAAATTTAACGACAAATTATATTGACAAAGTAGATATCTATGGTATTAATATTTCTATTGCATAATATTCTAAACTTATTCATATCATGTATATTATATAATATTTTTCATTATTTATTTTGAACTAGTCATCTTGCCGATTTGGCCGCTACGTAATAATCAAGACATTTATCAATATTTTGTATTTTAAAGTAATAAATAATAAAAACATATTACAAAAAGTAACTTCTGAAATCAATTAGCTAATTATTATACAAACCACTACTTTTTTCTTTAATAATAAATACAAAAATGCATTTGTGTCAGAGATATAACCGATGAACGTGTTAAATTAAATATTAAAACCGTACAACCATATTGCTGGGCATGAATAAATAATAATGTAATGACACATTATTTGAAAATGTATTTAGATTTCTATCGATGAGAGTAATTAGAATATAGTACTGTGGATTAAATTAATAGATTGTAAATAATGCATTTATAGAAACATATTGGATTTAATTGGAGCAAGAATAATTGCAAATGGTAATTAAATTTTTTATGCATTCATGCAAATTATTGTGAAATATTTTTGTATTTATGTTACTTAGTTATAGAATTTCTAAGTATTTTCTATTGCAACTCAGGTTGTTGGGTTATAATTTAACCCTTATAGCTGTGAACTGTATTAAACACTGATTTGTTTGTATATTATGTATTTGTTGCAGTTTTTATTACAGTCACTGTTTGTCACTACGTTATAATCGAAGATGTATTTATTTATTACTTATTAAACATGTTATTTTGCGGACTTTTATTTTAGAAGCAAACAATTAGTTTCATTAAAACACTCCGCTACCCCCTCTACCAGGGTTAGCAACAATTTCGTGTAAAGCTCAATGCCATGAAGATTACCACCTTCACGGCTGATATAATAAAACGAAAATACGTTCGAACAATTTCGTTGTAAATTAGAATAACTATAAAATTATACTACGGCTTATATAATTTGAGTTTTCAGACTACTAACTTCTACTCTACAATGGTGGTAAATTATCATGCCATGGATAGCCACAAAGATTATAACCTTTAAAAAAAATACGTTGAGTGTCGCAGATTAATTTAAAATAAAATTCAGAACAGTTTAAACAAATTTTATAAATGCACTATCTTTTTATCATTTTTTATACTACTTCTCAGTTTGCCTTTTCTTAAAAATTATGCAGAGACTTCTTAAGACCACAAGATTGCATTTTTAATTTTAATTACGAATTAAAAGGATTTACCCTTGTGGCCTGTTTGAATAATAAAAGCAAGCAAAAGCAGCTGAATTTATGGTTTTATGTTTGTAGGAATTAGTTGGAAACTATTCTGTACTTTAGATGAGATTCATAATGGAACGAATTATAAATAAGAGCTGAACAGCGGCTTATAATAATGAAACTCTAGAATATGAGAAAAGCTGCATAATACTCCTATTCTACATCAGAAATTGTTGAATACTTGAGTTAAATGCTAATTACATAATGAATGTGATGTTGAGGAATGTAATCGCTCTAAGAAAATTTTGTTAACATAGTAAACATTCGCAATACTTATTGAAACTACTTAGACCTAGTTATTAGATTTTTTTTATTAATATTAACAGTTTTTATGTAATTCATTTTTCACATGTCTACCCTCTTATGATTTCTATATATGTTGATGTCTAGATACCATGATATGAAATAATCTACATGAGCAAGTCGTTTTAGAAAGTAAGGCTCTATGTTCTATAATAAATCCAGTAATCTTTATGGCTTATGGCTTTGCTTGGTATAAAACACGTGGAAAAATATATATATGCCATAAAATGTCTGCATCATAAAATATGCGAATGTTTTCTGTATCTGGTTTGTACGATATACAAACATAACCAGGACTGAATGTAAATTATAATATAAACTGAATGTAAATTATAATATAAACGCGCGACTATTTGAAAACTGGGTAATTTTTGTAAATCCACGTCAAATAATCTCATATACTAACATGTTTTAAAGTACATATTTTGTAAGAGTTTCTGAGATTCTAATAAATATTATCAGATTAATCTTTGATTCTAAATAATTAATTTACCTATCAGTTTAAAGCTTAAAAATTTACTTGAGTATCTCAAAATATGCTTTTAGTACAAAATTCACACGAAACATTTTACTGCATTGTTTTTAACAAAGGTGCAAAATTTGCAGTATGAAAATGTTTTTATTTTAATTATTTTTGTATTAATTAGTCTGATTATTATGAATGTCGATAGAAATTTAAATAATTTTCGTTTAAAACGTTCGATAAAACCATTATAGAAATTTAATGTATGCTGATAGGGGTTCATTGTGGCATGAACTAAATATACAAAATATTCTGCAAAATGCAAACTGAATATTTTAAATACCTCTTTTAAAGTACCGTATATAACTACAACATTATATTATATATTGTATTTCATATATATTATATAATGTATTTTATTAAAATTTAGCTTATATATATTTAAATATATATTTTTTTTCTTGGGTCAGACATATTTTAGCACAAAATGTCATTTATGTCAAGGATAAACTATCTTATAGTTCAAAAACAAGAAATTTTATCTTGTGCTAAACAGAAAAATAAAATATGAAGTATGTAATAATTTCACTTTGTGAACAAACTCTAGAAGTAAAAATTTTATTCTCATAAATAACAAAGTTTCTGGTTCTTCTCATTCGTGAACTCTTATTTTTGCGATGCATGTCGTTGAAAATATAAAATTACTACATTTTTCTATGCTTTATTTTACTAATTTATGTTAAAGTTATAAACATTTCAAGACCATGAGTATAAACATAAGTAAATTATTTTTAATAAATAATTTAATAAAGGAAAATAATTGATAACTAGTGATGCATGGCGTCGTGCCTTAAGGCAAATTGCTGGAATTTACCGTACCAAAAATTTAAAATAAAAAAAAAATCACTTTTTTTCAGAGCAGAAAGAAAATAAATATCAAAGCTCGTAAGCGCCGCGTCGCAGTTTCCAGATAAACATTGATACATGTAAACAAAATTTACACCTATTAATAAAATCTGTGTAAGATATCTGATAATTTGATGTGCGTATATCTAATGATCATTTTTGACCCCATATGTCATTTTTTTAACTTTTTTTACTCTATTTTTGAAGCCGATAGACCTGTCTTTCTTAAGATTTAATCAAATCCTCTTTTTGTCAATACTAGTAAAATGTTCTTTTGAATTATTCAAATCCGATGCTGCGTTCTCTCAAAAACTGAGTTCCTATTTTTGGCTCTTTTTGCTCCTTATCTTCGAAACGGGTAGATCTGCTTTGCCCAAAAGTAATTAGCACGTCTCCTTATCAATACGAATTAAATGTTTTTTGAATTATTTAAATCGGTTGATCTATATTCCTGAAATCGTCGACAAAAAGGGATTGGGCGTGTTTCCATACAGAATTAGCCCCACCCTGCTATTTAAATGGTTTTGATGCCATTTTATAGGTATTTCCGAGAAAATCCGATATATCAAATTTCAAATCCGTAGCTCATCATTTGGCCGAGATATCATTCATAATGTGTGAAAGTATCCGCATACCTATACATCATTTGTTTCTAAGATATGCCAAAATGTTCAGAAGCCTTTAAAACAAAGATATATAAAAATTTTCATTTTCCAATTTTTTGCAATGACTATAACTTACCCTACGGTAAAGTTAAAAATTGAAAAGTTTTTAGGAGTGGACAACACCTAATATAAATAGTTTATTGAAGAAAGATTTAAGTTTTACCATAATCTCAAAAATCTAAATTCAGCTGAAAGGGGAATGAAACTTGATTTAATTACCAAAATGACTATTACAAAACAGGGGTTTGTTGTACGAGAATAATAATTTAAGTAATCCTAACTTTTTCACCACATCTTTTCTATAAATTCTAATATACCATTTATCTTTTCTTCTCAGAGTAATTTGTCGCGAAGAATGGCCTTCGGAGCGTCACTCGTACTACTACAGCATGGCGCTCATGGGTCTGCAATTTGTTGCACCGCTGGCAGTTCTGATGTTTACGTACACCCGCATCGCGATCGCGGTGTGGGGCAAAAGACCCCCGGGGGAGGCGGTCGATTCCAGGGACCAGAGGATGGCGCGATCCAAACGAAAGGTGAGATAATTGATTTTATTTGCATGCGTTGATTGAAACATAATAAATTATTTGAAAAATGATGTTTATGGCGTAAATTACATAAAAAAAAGGAATGCGCGTAAGGTTCACACGCGGTTGAAGTAAAACTTATTTGCTATTGTACAAGATGGCATTTGAGTAGAAATAAATACATCTTATAACAATTTTAAATAATGTTTATTAGTAATATGGTAACACGTGTATCGTGATGCACACATTTATTAGTGCCAACCATAATACACATTTATATAATAATAAATTATAAATATTTATTTATAATAGCATTGAAAATATGTATAATATTACAAAACAATAATGTAATTAAAGTTATACTTCAAATATGACATGATCGGTTTGTCATTGTAATTACCATTTAGAAATCAACCTTCATTAGAGAAATAAAGTAATTATTTAATAATTCGCGGATTAATAAATTCTATAATATTTGTTCACACAGTGGATTATGTTAAACAATACCTAAACAAATATTGTTTTCGCAACTTCACTCATCATGTTATTGTGTTTGAAGAACTTCATGTAATTAAAATTAACATACATTCATTGACTGCTTGTATGTTTTTTACTTTTTCGCTTGCGATATAATCCCATTCTTTAAACAGCTGTAATATCTGCCTTGCCTAAAAAATATTTTCTATTTCCAACTTTAAAGATTTATAGAAACTACGAATAATATAGAAATAATTTCTAATCAATAAACTTACGTTTAGTACACGGCACAAATGTTTAATTTGTTTTATTATTTTCAAGGAACAGGTAAAATATTCTTCTGATTTAGGCATTTTTCATTAAATCAAGATTTGTACTACGATGTAACTTTAAAATGTTTATCTTTCTGTGCCGAATTCTTTGTTGATATCGGCACTCATACAACGTTGATGCCCGTACGCATATAACGGCAGATCTCTATTCACATACACGACGACTAATCCCAATCGACCCGTATAGAAATGATCTCATCGAGTGCAAATGACAAACAGTTCGGACGTAACGGACTTCCGTTACATTTGTACGGATTTACACTCTAGTCGCGCCTAAAGAAGTTTTACTTCAAAAATATGAATCCATAATTCCGAAATGTAAATCGTGCGTATTATTTCATATTATAAGGGGGTCGCTAAATTTTTAATTCATACGAAATAGACAGTTTATTGAAATATCATTTAATATAAATAATTTTATTAGTTTTTACCCATAAACTAGCTACTCGAATTTGCAGTATTGGTGTATAGGAGGGTTTGACAAAAAATTACAAAAAATCACGTGGGGAAAGAGGGATCTAAAAAGATATCACGTGATTTATTTTTTCATCTGATGAATTGAAAAAAAAATCAAATTTTATGGTTCTTTCGTAAATTCGAAATATTTTATATATATAAAAATACACGTGATGTTTGCTGGGGGAGGGCGAGTAATTTTAAATATCACGACGTAGCACCAAGGAGAAGAGGAGGCCAAAAATCGAAAGTGACGAATGGAGATAAATAAATATTTTAATATAAATTTAAGATCCTATTGAAAAACGTCTGTTACCACTTATCCTTATTTCAATAAGCCCCTAGCACCCCTATGTATACTAATTGTAGATACATACATACTCCATTCAATCAATTACATTCAAATCAATTAAGATTGAAGATCAATCTAAGTTTCTAGTTCATATTGTTCCACAGGGCAGAACATATTCAACATCGCAGTAACGTTTCTGGTTGAATTATCGTTGCACTATCTTCCGTTTGATATGTTATGAAGCAAATAATCTCCATAACTTTGATTTATATTCATCACAAACACGACTCCATCAAATCATGATTTGCCGACAACAAACACCGTGGATTGTAATAATATGTGAAGCTTTACATACTAATTTGCAGGAGTAAATTTTGAGAAATTGCATAGTTAATATTCGAAAGCAGCACTTCCATATTTATTATCAAGAGATCTTTAAATCTGTTTGAGCTTGTATGTGATTAAGTCTTGCATATACAAGGTCGTCTATGAAACCTTGATATCAGGCAGAAGTTAGTTATATCAGTTTTCCGTAGGAATTTTCTCGGCAACTTTGTGGTTGCAAGGCCAAAGCTTGGGCCACAAACAAGCTTTTATGTACTGGATAATCTAGTACTTTCCATACAAATTTTCTTATCTTTTTTATGCGTATTGAGCATAATTCAGCTAAAGCCGCCTTCGCTCGCAAATCATTTCATGGTCTACCCTCTTTCGAAAGTTTTTACGTTCAGAACAACAGATAAGCTTCGCAATCCTTCGATAATACTCTTTAATAAGGGTTTTAAGCTCGCAAAACGTTTGAACAATGAACGAATTTGTATGCTGAAAATTCTCATAATTTAGCATAAAAAACAACACAGTTACACGGAGTATGGTTACATTATTTTATCTTTCCGCGTTGTTATAAACGGGTTATGATTTATTAGAGAAAGTAAACCGTAATGTCTACTAAATACAATTTATATCAATTGTCACACCGAACCCGAGTACAATTTAGGAGAAATAATTTTTCTTAATATTTCTTCTCTCAACTTAACTTCTATGAGAGCTTTCGCCAACTTCAAAGCTCCAGCTTTATTGCTGAAAACTTTTCTTTATATAAAATTTTATAATGTTGCAAATCGGTCATGTTATTTTTTATAATATTATTTGAAAATCAATTTAGAAAATATTCGCACGAGTTGTTTAAGCCGTGTAATTAAAATTCCTCATCAATCTTTTCGAGAACGTTATTAGACGTAAATAATTACATTTTATATGTTTATTTTTGTAACAAATCGTCTAGTGCTTATTTAAAATAAAACAGATGTGTCGATCAAAATATAATTTACCAATATAAAATATGTATTAGTCTAAACATTTTTTAGGTTGATAAACTAATAACTCGCTTAAGGCGGATTGATTTATGAGATATAATTTAAAAAAATCCAATTAAATTTGAATATGTTTGTGGTTGATAATTTGAAATGCGTTCAGAGAATATTTTCGCAAATCTTTAAATTTTCAATATATCATCCACAGGCAAAGTTCATTCCTTTAAATAATCTCGCCTTCCCGAAACCATAGAAGCTTCAAACAAAAAGTAGGCGAATTGTCGAAAATATGGACAACAATCATTTAGTAATAAATCGCAAATGACTCGTAGGATCAAGTTATATTATAGATTTTTTTTTAATTTGAGGTGCTGAAAATTACACAGTGAATTTACGAGTCAGTTAGAAGGCTGATACAGAAATATTACGAATGTGTTTCGAATACTTTTTGAGGAATACGTATGTAATATTCAATTGTTTATATATTTGTAAACTAAATTTGTTTATTGAGCAGTAAAGTGCTAATTTTGGTGATATTTTTGTTGAGTATTTGGGTAGAATCTAAAATATGGAACCATCGACCATCAATTAATAGCTCTCGGATGCAGACTTCATGTTCTATAAATTTTTTCACAACGCCAAGAGTACTTTCTACTAAAAATATGTCAATGTTCCGAATTCCTCATATATTTTTACAATTTTTCCTAAATAAATGTTTATCTTTAACAACGTCATGCGTAGCACACAGCCCGCGGGCTAAAATATTATATTCTTCTTATAAACTCTCCTAACAGTTGACAGTAGAACTTGGATGTCTGTCATCGGATTATTTGCCTAGAAATATATATTTCCGTTGAACCATCTAATTAGTGAATACATATCGTATATAGTAATACAATTTGTGGTTCCTGTTTTAATTAGAAACGTAATTCAAGCGGACGATGTGTCCGCACATGATGGTGTTTGATATCAAATAGGAAATTAGAGGCTATTTTGTGTTACTAGGTGAGGTTTGCTAAAAGACAGAATAATATAGAACACAGTTAAGGGAGTATACAAATTATATTTCTAGTTGTGTAAGTTTTTGTAGAAATCTTTAAAAAATCAGTTTTCAAAAATGAATTGATGGATATTTTTGCCCTCTGGGTAACAAAGATCAGACAAATTTTTGAAAACTTGCAAAGTTGAAAGTTTTACTGAGCCCAGTCAGTTAATTGTTTGTTTGATATGTGTTATTAATATTTAATTGGTTTGGTTCACACAATATTTTCTCAGAGTCAAATTGGATCTTTGCCCTCTATTTAATTTTTTTTTCAATATTTTTATATAGCCATTTCTACGAATAACAAATTTCCCAATCAAGCTATGGTTTCACTAGGCAACAGTCCATTGTCAGAAATAAAATAAAGCAATTTTGTTCTCGTATTATTTTCTGACTCCTGTATTGTACGTAATATCACATTCCATAACTATATATTACTCGTAAAATACTCTCAAGAGAAGAATGGAAAAATGTTCGTTTTCTTTGTATGTGATAAAACGCTTAACGAAGAAAACGTTATGAATTTCTTGATTAAATGACTTGATACAAATAAATAAATCTTCTCAGGAGATAAATTAGATACACACAAATATATATATATATATATATATATATATATATATATAATGTTTATATATATTCATATATGTTTATATATAAGTACGATACATATTGATGACGAAATGTGCTGATTAGTTTTTGGAAAATGCAGAGCTCAGCCGTTGAAAAAAATTATTTTATCTATAAAATACGCACGATAAAATTTACATGATTCAAGCCATAATGCCACTAATTTAATTTGAATTTACATAAATCCATAAATTTTTCTATAATTCATTTCCAACGCCTTCAATCAATATTTGACCTTTTCTCAAAGTTGAATATGCATCGACTGAAACTAATCCTTAAGGATTTCGCTTGAACAATTTATATTAAACGAAGTCTGATATTTATTCATTTTGATAGGGATATAATTTATGAACAACAAGGAGCTATTTGAAGGCAAATAAGAGCTTTATTTTTCATGAAGCGCTGCATATCATTTGTAAAAGAAATTACGTTGCAGCTTTTTGATTGATGCTCTGAGCTTGAAAGTA